GATCTTTTTCTTCCTCGACACGTACCTGTGGTATGTCTTGGTCAATGCGATTTTCTCCATTGCCCGATCCTTCTATATCGGTTCTTCCATCTGGACACCTTGGAGAAACATTTTCTCTCGCTTGCCCAAGCGCATCTACTCCAAGATTCTCGCTACTGGCGACATGGAGATCAAGTACAAGCCAAAGGTTCTCATCTCCCAAGTGTGGAACGCCATCGTCATCTCCATGTACAGAGAGCACTTGTTGGCCATTGACCACGTGCAGAAGCTTCTCTACCACCAGGTTCCTTCCGAGCAGGAGGGTAAGAGAACATTGAGAGCGCCTACTTTCTTCGTTTCTCAGGAAGATCACTCGTTCAAGACTGAGTTCTTCCCTACCGACAGCGAAGCCGAGAGACGTCTTTCCTTCTTCGCTCAATCGCTGTCGACTCCTATTCCGGAGCCTGTGCCAGTCGATAATATGCCGACCTTCACCGTCCTCATTCCTCATTACAGCGAAAAGATTCTGCTTTCTCTCCGTGAGATTATTCGCGAGGATGAGCCCTACTCTCGCGTGACTTTGCTTGAGTACCTCAAGCAGCTTCACCCGCATGAATGGGACTGCTTCGTCAAGGACACAAAGATCCTGGCCGATGAAACCTCCCAGTTCAACGGCGACGGCAACACCAACGAGAAGAACGAAAAGGACACCGCCAAGAGCAAGATCGACGACTTGCCCTTCTACTGTATTGGTTTCAAATCTTCTGCCCCCGAGTACACCCTCAGAACCCGTATTTGGGCATCTCTTCGCTTCCAGACCTTGTATCGCACGATTTCTGGCTTCATGAATTATAGTAGAGCTATCAAGCTTTTGTATCGCGTGGAAAACCCAGAGGTTGTCCAAATGTTCGGTGGCAACTCCGACAAGCTCGAGCGTGAGCTCGAGCGCATGGCTCGTCGCAAGTTCAAGCTCTGTGTTTCCATGCAGCGTTACGCCAAGTTCAAGAAGGAAGAGATGGAGAACGCCGAGTTCCTCCTTCGTGCCTACCCCGATCTTCAGATCGCCTACCTCGACGAAGAGCCCCCTCTGGCTGAGGGCGAGGAGCCTCGTCTGTACTCTGCTCTCATCGACGGTCACTCAGAGATTATGGAGAACGGCATGCGCAAGCCCAAGTTCCGCATTCAGCTTTCCGGCAACCCCATCTTGGGAGACGGCAAATCCGACAACCAGAACCACTCGCTCATCTTCTACCGCGGTGAATACATCCAGCTTATCGACGCCAACCAGGACAACTACCTCGAGGAGTGCCTCAAGATCCGATCCGTCCTTGCCGAATTCGAGGAGATGAAGACTGATAATGTCAGCCCCTACACTCCTGGTGTCAAGAGCAAGATGACCAACCCTGTCGCTATTCTTGGTGCTCGCGAGTACATTTTCTCGGAGAACATTGGTATCCTCGGTGACGTTGCTGCTGGAAAGGAACAGACATTCGGTACTCTCTTCGCCCGTACTCTTGCTCAGATTGGAGGCAAGCTTCATTACGGTCACCCGGATTTCCTCAACGGTATCTTCATGACGACCCGCGGTGGTGTTTCCAAAGCCCAAAAGGGTCTGCATCTCAACGAGGATATCTACGCCGGCATGAACGCCATCTTGCGCGGTGGCAGGATCAAGCACTGCGAGTACTACCAGTGTGGTAAGGGTCGTGATTTGGGTTTCGGCTCAATTCTTAACTTCACCACCAAGATTGGAACTGGTATGGGTGAGCAGATGCTGTCTCGCGAGTACTACTACCTCGGAACTCAACTGCCTCTGGACCGCTTCCTCTCTTTCTACTACGCCCATCCTGGTTTCCATCTCAACAACATGTTCATTATGTTGTCCGTCCAGATGTTCATGATCTGCTTGCTCAGCTTGGGCGCCCTCCGGAAAGAAACAAAGGCGTGCGACTACAACCGCGACGTTCCCATCACCGATCCTCTCTTCCCTACTGGTTGCCAGAATACCGATGCTCTCATGGATTGGGTGTACCGCTGCATTCTCTCCATTATCTTCGTGTTGCTTTTGGCTTTCGTGCCGCTGGTCGTCCAAGAGTTGACTGAGAGAGGTTTCTGGCGTGCCGCCAAGCGTCTTGGCAAGCAATTCTCTTCCCTCTCGCCGTTCTTCGAGGTCTTCGTTTGCCAGATTTACGCAAATTCGGTACAGCAGGATCTCTCGTTTGGCGGTGCCCGGTACATTGGTACTGGTCGTGGCTTTGCGACTGCTCGCATTCCCTTCGGTGTCTTGTACTCTCGTTTTGCCGGCCCTTCGATTTACTTCGGATCTCGTCTACTAATGATGCTTCTCTTCGCCACCGTCACCATCTGGCAAGCCGCACTCGTCTACTTCTGGATCTCTCTTCTCGCCCTGGTTATCTCGCCCTTCCTGTACAACCCGCACCAGTTCGCTTGGAGCGACTTCTTCATCGACTACCGCGACTTCTTGAGGTGGCTGTCCCGTGGTAACTCTCGCTCTCACGCATCCTCCTGGATCGCCTTCTGCCGTCTGTCTCGTACCCGTATTACAGGTTATAAGCGCAAGGCTCTCGGTGACCCGTCTGCCAAGATGTCGTCTGACGTACCCCGTGCGGCTATCACCAACATGTTCTGGGGCGAGATTCTTACTCCTCTGCTCCTCGTGGCCGTCACTGTCATTCCGTACCTGTACATCAACGCCCAGACCGGCGTCTCTGCTTCCAACAACCCCGATGCCTCATCTTCGGCGATCAAGCGCACCAACTCTTTGATCAGAGTCGGAGTTGTCGCACTGGCCCCTATTGCAGTCAACGCCGGCGCGTTGTTGATGTTCTTCTTCATGGCCTGTTTCATGGGTCCCCTCCTGAGCATGTGCTGCAAGAAGTTCGGTAGTGTCCTTGCGGCGATTGCCCACGGCATTGCCGTGATCATGTTGCTTGTCTTCTTCGAGGTCATGTTCCTGCTCGAGTCTTTCGATTTCGCCCGAACTCTGCTTGGCATGATCGCCGTGGTCGCCATCCAACGTTTCGTCTTCAAGCTGATTATCTCGCTCACTTTGACGCGTGAGATCAAGACGGACGCGGCGAACATTGCATTCTGGACCGGCAAGTGGTATTCTATGGGATGGCACTCAGTTTCCCAGCCCGCCCGTGAATTCCTCTGCAAGATTACGGAGCTGAGCATGTTCGCGGCCGACTTTGTCTTGGGCCACTTCCTTCTCTTCATCATGCTTCCGGTCATCCTTGTGCCCAAGATTGACATGTTGCACTCGATGATGCTCTTCTGGCTTCGTCCTGGGTACGTATCACCATCACTCGTCCACAATCCGTTCCCGCAGCATTGCTAACAAACCCCTCACAGTCGCCAAATCCGCCCGCCAATCTACTCAATGAAGCAGTCCAAGTTGAGACGCAAGCGTGTCTTCCGCTATGCCATTCTCTACTTCACCATGTTCATTCTCTTCATGGCTCTCATGATCGGCCCTGCCGTCGTTGGTGACAAAATCCCTATGAGCATCTTCAAGTCTCTGGACACGACGGACCTGGCCCTGATCCAACCTACCAGCCTTAACAACGACAACACGCGTGGGGAGACTGAGACTGGAACTGGAGCGGCAGACTACTCGGGAGCCTACCTTACGATGACTTCATCGTCGGCAAAGGCGTCCAAGACTAGCAACTCGCAGAGAGTGCGCCTTTTCTAATTGTACGAGCTGTATCATAGACGCATTTGGGGGTGGTAGAGAGAGTCGTCGTTCCACAAGCGGTTTAGGGACGTTCCGAGGAAGGACGAACAACCTAGACTTCGGCGGCAGGTTTTTAATGTCCATTATCAGGCGTGTATTGTGTCTTTCCGACTGCTACCTATTCATTTCTCTTTTTGTACGGGCAGGAAAACATGGCTGGCATGGAATCACGGCTGTGAAGGCCTGCAGACTACGTATATCACCAAAGGCCAAGAGTGAAACTACCTTAGACGGGTGTATAATCAAGTCCCATTTTGTTCACTTACAAGCCCTACCTACTAAGTCGTAACTTGCCAGCATTTGATGTGACCCACTGCAATTCGTCGTCCGCGACGCGGGATGTACGTAGCTACCTGTGTTGGGTTCAGGTGCCGAGTTGAAGGCGCCTGCTCTGTGCATATCTGCAGGAGACCAGACTGACTGACCAGTCCCTTCGCTTAGGTGGGCTGAGAGAGAGGGAGTTGCGAAAGATACGAGTCATGCCTCCCATTATTAGAGTCAGTTTTAGGAGTGAGAAGAAGGACCGTATTTGCCCTCGGAGAACTAGGTAAGGTGAATGGCAATAAGTGAGGTATCCGTATCCTGACCACAAGTGTATTATGCGTGGAAATGCAATAATGAGCATTGCATCCTTAAGGGGTATAGATGGATTATGCGAAGACGCAGGGCTGTCCAGGAACTCAGGGGCAGAGAACCTTGTGGGCCAATCAGAAGTTTGTTGAAAGGACATGAAAGGATCGACCGCCAGGGGGCGCGCTCGGGGAAAAAAAACCGCGTCGGAGGTGCTGTCACTTTGGCGCACTTTCAAGACCTGAGCGCACTTGTGACTTGGTCGATTTGTCGATTTCTTGCCTCGCATTCCCTTACCAACCTAGGCACCTTGCCAACCCGTTGCTACTTCAGATATTCTACACGAGCGTCCCGAAAGGAAAGTCTACATCATTGTGTGTCTTGCGCTCCTTTGACTGTAGCACCGAGGTTCCGTACCTATCACTCCAGGGCTCCATACATCAAAGTACCTTAGCAGACGCAAAGCACCTATCGCACCAGGATTGGCTGACGGTCCAACGCACCATCCCGTCATCCTCATTTCCTTCACAAAGGTACCACGTCCGGATTCTTCGGCCGCGACTACTCACAACTTGAACCATTCTACAACACATCAAGTTGTCGACCCGCCTCCCGCATTCCTTCGTCTCTTTCAGTCAACTCGTGCGATCGAACTACATTATCCCACCTCTGCCATCTCGTCAAAGCCATCATGGACGCTGGCGAGGCCCAAACGAAGCTGATCGCCTGGCTGCACGAGGCCTCCGAGGCCTTTCAAAAAGTCCCTGGATCAGCCGTGTTAATTCGCTACATCCAATCGAGCTACCAGAACGATCCCATTCGCTCCGGCATCGAGCTAGTTCTCTTCATATTCTTCGTCCGCTATCTCTTGTCGCCCTCCTATTCAACCCAGAAGCAGAATTTCATCAAACTCCGCGATGATGTGCGTTGAATTCGACATCCTATCCCGGCCCCTTGGCTCTGATACTCCGAGCCTTTTACTGACACTGGTGGCTAGGAAATCGACGAGTTGGTAGAAGACTGGACCCCGGAGCCGCTTGTGGCTCCTCAAACAGCTCTTGAGGAGATCGAGGCCGAGAGGTTGCCTGTGATTGTTGGGTACGACCGACCTCCCCTTTCCTGTTGATGATCCTTTGCCAGGGAACCTCTTGGCTGACATCTTCCAGACCGACCGGCCCCAAGACCAAGCTCGCAAACGGACGCACCGTCACGAACCTCGCTTCATACAACTTCTATAACTTCAATGCCAACGAACAGATCAAGGACAAGGCCATCCAGACGCTACGCACCTACGGCGTGGGCCCATGCGGTCCTCCCCAATTCTACGGCACTCAGGACGTGCACATGAAGACCGAAGCAGACATCGCCGCCTATCTTGGTACTGAAGCCTGCATTGTTTATGCCCAAGCCTTTTCTACTATCTCGAGTGTCATCCCCGCCTTCTGCAAGCGCGGAGATATCATTGTCGCTGACCGCGCTGTCAACTACTCCATTCGCAAGGGTATGGAGGCGTCCCGAAGCACCATCAAGTGGTACAACCATGGTGATATGGACGACCTTGAACGTGTCATCCGGAAAGTGGTTAAGGACCAGAAGGGCAAGAAGTTGACGAGAAGATTCATTGTCTCTGAAGGCCTATTTGAGATCACGGGAGACAGCGCGGACCTGCCCAGACTCGTGAGTGATTCGTCTTGAGCGCTACTTTCGCCACCACAGAAAAGAGACCATTATTGGCTGACAAGGCATGCAGGTTGAACTGAAGCACAAGTACAAATTCCGCATCATCCTCGATGAGACTTGGTCTTTTGGCGTCCTCGGCCGAACTGGCCGGGGCCTTACGGAAGCGCAAAACGTCGACCCCTCCCAGGTAGACATGATTGCTGGCTCTCTCGCCGGCCCTCTCTGCGCTGGAGGCGGCTTCTGCGCCGGTGCCAAGGATGTTGTTGAGCACCAACGTCTCACGGCAGCTTCTTACACCTTCTCAGCTGCTTTGCCAGCCATGCTTGCGGTCACCGCCAGCGAGACTCTCAGCGTTTTGCAATCTAACCCGGACATCCTTACGCAGTGCCGTGAGAACACCAAGGCCATGAGGGCACAGCTGGATCCTCGCAGTGACTGGGTCGTCTGCACCAGCTCGCCCGAGAATCCCATCATGCTGCTGGTGCTTAAGGCCGAGGTCGTCGCTGCGCGCAAGCTTACACGAGAGGACCAAGAAAGGCTACTACAAGACTGTGTTGATGAGGTAAGCAAGCCATTGACACATGAGATTCCAGAAGAAGACGGTGCTAACCGTGGTTTGCCCATCAAGGCCCTTGCAAACGGGGTTCTCATTACGCGCCTCAAGAGCATGCCCATTGCCAACGACCTGAACCCGAAGGATGACAGCTGGCAGATCCAGCCAGCGCTCAAGGTTTGCTTGACCACCGGCTTGCCCAGGAAGGACATTGAGAAAGCAGGTGTCACGATTCGACACGCTATCACAAAGGTCATGACCCGGAAGTCGAGCTCCAAGTCATCATAGCGCACTTGACTCATACTCTGCTTGGAATGACTTTACGGCATGCACTAGAGTGGATGACTTTATGCGGGTGTCGTTTTCACATGCGTACTGGGACTTGTGTCGAACATAGATAATGCCGGAATCGAGATCACGGCGGCTGGGGACTCGGATACCCTAGAGAGTTCGCGGGCTCACTTGTAATGACATACATATACATACTAATTAATCACAGAGGCTGGAACAGCAGTCAAATATTTACATCTCGGACGTCTCCTGTCGCACAGGAGTTTGAAACAATCGGGGTGCGGAGCTATGCAAGAGAGAGCTCGGAACGCTAGACAAAGACTGGAGAAAATTTGTCAAAGGGGACATGAGTGATGGCAGCAAACACAAAGGCCGTACTGCCAGCCACCACCCACTTCCCGCTGTCAGCTCGGCTCCGGATCCGGCATCGGGCGGACGGTCAACTGGCCCCAACAACTCGGCATTATGCCGCCCTCCACCTTTGTCGACGGACTCCGTAGGTCCAGACCTTTCGGAAAGTTTCCTCTCTTTCCCCTTCTTCATCCGGCCAAACCGCAGCTTCGGGTCCTGCAAGTGTTCTAGACCAGCGATACATCTCTTAGACATGCTCTACCATCCGCGTTTTGCCCTCTTCCGATGGCTTTCAAGGGTTTTTCAAGACTAAGCCCCAGAAGTCGGGGGAGTGACGAGTCTTCTTCGAACACGCGTCAAGGTCTTTTTGACTAGGTACAAATTCGTAAATCCATTGCGCTACTAGGCACTTGGATCGGGTACCTGTATGAAATTGGCGTTCAAAGACCGGCCGCCTCTTGAAGACCGGGCACCGCCTTTGATTACCTACACGGCGCCGATGAGGGTTTCAAGCGAGAAGCCTTGACAGTACCTACCGCAGGTTGTGTCGTCTTCCTCCTCGGAGGCTTGAAGAGGTAGAATGCAGGAGGCTCTAAACCATGTGTGTGGAGCTGGGTCCAGGTTATAGAGTATTTTGATCATACGGTGACCTCTATAAGATGCCTCGATGTCGTTCCTTTTTCATCTCATGAGCTCTCGAGATCCTCACACATTCATTGAACCGTCTGAGACGACCATCTCTATTGCCTCCCTTCACTTTCCTTATGCTTCTTGAGTAGAAACAACATTCCTTCAGTTGCAGAACCCAATCCTACCTAGCATACAAGTGCAACGCTTCCCATACATTGATCTACTGTAAGTTGGCGCTTGCTTCACAAAGCGTGTGTCGATCACAGGTAGAAATTCCACGTCAAATGCTGACCTACATTACAAGATTAAGGCCCTTCAAGCATCGCGTTCCTTGGCTGTACTTACTCGGAGCAATCGAACCTACATTGGTCGAACTCAGAAGACGACATTGAGGACCAGAAACTCATTCACACCAACGGCTCGACATTTGTTTATCTTTATCTCCAGATACTGAGAACAAAGTGTGACCAACACTCTGCAAATCATCAACAACAACAACAACAACAACAACCTAAGCTACGAAACCCGTTTTCGGAAGTGAGTTAAGAAGTCTACATCAATTCCTTGGTGATTTTGAATTCCTCGGGAGAGGTTCCTCGGCCCCCTAGGATAAGTGTTGGCTCTTTCCACAAGTGCAATGTGTTGCTTGTTACAAGTGGGAACCAACATTCCTGCCTCTGGCTGGGCTGTCTCTCCCTCCGCTCGTTACTCCCTTCCCGTCTCATCTCCTAATTCAATTGTCTCCCGTACCTCATTTTATCCCGTTCCTGCAGTTCTTGGAACAAGACATCAAGCCCCTGCCGAGCAACTTTGTTGCATGATTGGGCCGCGAGAAGTCACAGCCAGGTACCAAGGACGCCCCCGTGGGGGTGGAGGACTGACGCTACTTGAATACACCATGCCCGCCATCTCTGCCTCTTTTGGTGTTTCTCGTCTTTTCCATCTTCTCGTCTTCTTTCCCTCGTCCTATACTATTGCTCGTCGCCGTTGGCTTCGTGTAGTGCAAAGCTGTATCGACAGCGATTCGTTCCTTTCCTGCTGATGTTGTTGCTTTCGTTGTAGTCACTCATTTTCTGACCCTACCATTCTTCTCTCTCGTTCAATCCTGATTCCAAACCTGTTTAACTCACGATTCTATCGCTACATAGCCTGACTTTGAACAATCCTGTTCCAGCGAAATCCAACTTCAACCGAAGCCTAGAACCACGGGCGTCTACACCACCATATTCTCTGGTATTTTTACTTTGCCTGAATCGGGCCCAATCACCACGCGTCACTACGCTATAAAAGTCGCAAATCGGACATGAAGTCTACCGGTATCTCGTCAACACTGGCGCTCGCTGCCTTGTTTGGGCTCTCGGCTGCTCATCCCAAAGGTGAGCCGGACTTGTTCGTTGCCATGGAGTTCAAGAGCATATCTGACACAATTGTGTAGGCACTAGAGATGTCAAAGGAGCAATTGTTGGGCCCGAGAAGATCCTCGTGACTGATTCTTCACTCAACGAGGCGACCGAGGCCCCTCAAGTAGTTGTCTACGTCGACGAAGAGGGTACTCCTTTGGAAACGACCGTCGAAACGGTCCGCTTCGTGCCGCCATCGCAATCAGCCCAACGCCCCTCGAAGCCTGTAGATCTCAAATCCCGATCTGAGGAACTAGCCACTCGCGTTACCTCGTCACGAGACCTTACTAGTGACCTCCTAGGCTCTTCTTCTCCGTTGGTCGCCTCGACGACCGCTTCACTCTCCGTTTCTTCAACATCATCCTCTACGCCAACACCCTCCCTCACTTCGAACTCCACTCTCACTTCAAACTCGACCCTGAACGGAATTGCATATGCCCCTTACACAGCAGCGGGACTGTGCAAGACAGCCGCTGAGATCGACGCCGACTTCACAGAGCTCAAGGGAAAGTACTCGGTAGTGCGCACCTACGGTACCGACTGCAATCAGATCGCGAACGCCCTTCCCGCGGCTAAGAAGGCTGGTCTCAAGCTCTTCTTGGGCATTTTTGACATCAGCTCAATCTCTGAACAGGTCGCAGCCATTAGTACGGCAGCCAACGGCGACTGGTCTCTGATCGACACTGTTAGTGTCGGCAATGAATTGGTCAACAATGGCAAGGCCACAGCGCAGCAAATCGTAACAGCTGTCGGGGAGACACGCCAGCTCCTCCGCGCCAAAGGTTACACCGGCCCTGTCGTAACTGTTGATACCTTTGTGGCGGTTCTTGCCAACCCTTCACTCTGTGATGCTTCCGACTACTGCGCGATGAACATTCACCCCTTCTTCGACAGCAACACGGCGGCGAAGGACGCTGGCTCGTTCATCACCAACACGGTTGCGCAGGTCCAGGCCAAGCTCACTGACCGAAGCAAGCGTATCGTCTGCACGGAGACGGGCTGGCCATGGAAGGGAAATTCTAACGGTGCCGCTGTGCCAGGTCTTTCTGAGCAAAAGTTGGCCGTCGACTCAATCAAGAATGCATACGCAAGCCATCCGAATGATGTGATTCTCTTCTCTGCTTTCAACGACCTCTGGAAGCACGCCGAGGCAGCGACCTTCAATGCGGAGCAGTACTGGGGCATTGGAGCTCTGTACTCGGCATCTGGAAAATAAGTAGAAGGGCTGCTAGAGGAGGAAGCGAAATGGTCGTTTGTTTCTGCTAGGCTGCGGGCAAGCCAAGGACGAGGCGGATACGTATGATTTTTTAGGTTGAAATGACGGGTATCAAAACTTTCGTGTAACATGTATTACAAACCAAGTTCTTTCTTTGGGAATGAACGTCTGTTCAACTGCATCTTCCTTCGTGGCCTAGGCCATGCGTGCATTTTTATGTCTTCAGAGATTCTTGTCTCATGATCTACTAAAGTCCACTAGGCTGACGCAGTCTGGGTTGTGAAGAGACCGGCGCAGCATCTTTATGGTTCCCAAATTCATTCTAACGGGACGGACCTCTGCAAGGCTACAAGTGAAACTCGTAGCTTTAGGTCAGGCAAGGTAAGTAGGTAGAACTGTCATTGTCTAATCCGATGGTCCTCCGTGGCTCAAGCACTGGTCAACCGGGGCCGTCCGGACCCACACGTCTGACAGTACCTGATGAAGCCTGTTCGATGTGGTCTTTCGATGGGATTGACCCCGGGGAAAGAAGACGAGAAAAGGTATACATGTGATCGCGACGGGAATAAGTGAGGGCAGCTCAGGAAAAGAAAAAAAAAAAAGGAGTGAAAATTGTTTGCTGGATTTACCCAGTTAACCTAAGTTCAAATGATCATCTGTACACGTGTAGGTATCTACTCTCGAGTAAGGAATGGGGTAATGAAAGCGCACTCGCAGGCAGATGTGAGCTGAGACAACTGGAAACACGCTATGGTGGGACTGATCAGTGATGTTTCTCGAACGATTTGTCTTGGGAGGAAAGTGACTGTGGCTGTATATTTGCAACGGTCAGCGGACTCGAGCGGCCCCCGATCACCCGATTCGTTATTTGGCTGAGATGAGGCGGTACCTGGCTAGCTGGGTAGCTACGGCACGGTACTCCGTAAAGTAGGTAGACACCTATTCAAGGGCAAGCATGGATGCGCAGCGCCCTAGGCCTAAGATAGTAGAGGTATTACAGAGCGGGATGGGTTTTCGCCACGGATCCCGGCGCAGAGGCCGCGCAGAGCCCTCCAATGCACCACCTCTAACTTCTCCCATTCTTTTATTCCCGGAAGCTGCCTTTCTTTCACAAGAACTCAAATTCGTTCGTTTGTTCGTTCCATTGGTATTTCAGCACCTGCTCCAGCCATTCCTCGTCCCAAGCTCCTTTCTGAGCTTTGCCGCCTTGCACATCCGACAGTCAAAACCCAATTGCAACGTCACAAGACGGTCGTGCCGGAGCCGCGAGCGCAAGCGCAATGGCTACCTCCGTGGGGACAGCTTCGGGTGGGAAGCCAAAGAGGACGAGGGAGTACCCGCTCATGTCGCGCCGCCAGATTGAAGATTTGATCGCACAGGGCAGAGTTGTCACAATAGTT